GGACTTATTTTTATGCTAATGCAGCTCTCCTGGGTATTAACAGTACCCTTGGTTGTCTGTGGGGCTGGAGCATGTTAATGTTGAGGTGATTTTATCTGAAGTGGGAAGCTCGCCGTGCTCTTAGATGTGGGCTTCACATATGTGGCAGCTTATTGCCGTGCATTACTGGGGACAGAAACCTAACAACTAAGTGTAAAGAAAGTACTGCCATATGAGTGTATTGTGTGTACTAGAATTATAAGCTCTTTAAAATGTGTAGTTTTAAAGGATTGGTTAAATAATAGATGTTAAAATAATTATTGTGTACTAAACTGTAGAAACCTTTTTGCTCTTAATTTAGAAACATAATTGGGGCCTATTGTTGTATAATGTCTCTTCCAATGGTAGCAGATGATAACTCCTTCTGTAGCTTTGTTGACACTTTCGTCTTATACGGTTATCATATTAAGTAAACTATTATAATTGACATTTTTCTAAATGACTGAATGTAAACATTGATATGTACACTTGGTATATTTAAATTTAATATTATCTTTATCACAGACCTCAGTTGCTCAAAGTCAAAGACCACTTGAAGAAAGGTAAATCATTTTGTACAAAAATATTCTTTTTCTAATTTTATCATTTCATTTTCTAAATTACTAACCTAATTTTTTGTCTTTGCTAAAGTATAAATACATTTTGTTTATGGTTTGAGCAATTAGATTTTCAAAGATTAAGTCCACTATTTATTAAAGATAAACTTACTTTTGTTTCAAATTGGTTATCACGATGCACAACCTAGATATGTAAACAACTTCCATAAAAAAATGTTGTCTTTTGTCTTTCTCAGTAACTTGGTGAAACTGTGTCAGAGTTTCATCATTAACATGAACTAGTGAGAATTCGCATTAAGTGGACATGAGGCACTTACTCTAACTGTACAGAGCTTAATGTATGAAAGTTTGGCTTTGATTACCATTCAGAAAAGAAAAAAGAATTACCTAAAAGTCTGTAGTTTTGCGCTTCATTACTGTTTTTAATATTTCCTCGTTACAAACCTAAGTGAATTAGCATTGGGTAATAAATGTAGTGATTAATGGCCAGAAGTTTTTAAAAGTATAGTTTTTAATTCTTGTAATTATCATCAATATTTTTATTAGTGTGTATATTTAATATATCAAGGGAATAGTACACATCTGTTTAATTTACTTTTTGTTGTCTAAACTAATGGTAGGCTTCTTATAATTTTATTCCTTTATTTTATAAATTATGGATTACCAGCTCTCTGAAAATTTAAGCTGTTATGAATAAAAGTGTTACTAGCTTCAACTTTTATGGAAACGTAAAATATCTTTTGACTGATAAAGCACAATGCTTCTTTACATTCATCCTCAAATTACTGTAGAGTAGGGCATATTTCTGTAGTTTTCTGTGGAAACATGAAGAAGTAAAACCACTGAAAATGCCTAAATGTTTCTAATTTATCTCCCTAAAAAACAGAAACTAATAAATACATTTTCAAATATTATTTTAATATTGAATATTTATGTAGTTCCTGCCCATGAATTTGATAGATTATTTACTTGTTCCATCTCAGAAAATAGAAACATTGCTTTAAGTATTTTAAAGAGAATCTTCATTCTCAAATAAAAATACAGTCTTGGGCGCCTTCCACAGGCCTTTGGGAAAGTGTTAGGAAGGTTGTGAAAGTAATCCGGTGAGGTGTCCCCACCTGCCAGCCGCATTCTACTTCGCTGATAGATCACAGTGGAAAGTAGTGAATAGAAGGAGCACTCACTACGGAGCAACAGCCTGCGGATGATAAGGAATATATGACATCAAGATCAGGGAAGAGTCAGAATAATATCAAATTAAGTGGTTTTACTTTTGCCTTAGAAATGTTTATTGATCTAATGTTCTCTAACTTTATGAGGGAGAATATTACGCTTCAATTCAGTTCTTGCTAATGAGGAAGCATTGAATGCCATGCTATGCAGAGGACTGAGATAGATTTTACAGGGCATAACAATATAAATAACGTGGTCGTTTCCCTTAGCGCATTAACAGTCTAGTAAAGTAGACAAGGTGTAAAACTAAGTAAGAGTGTGATACAGAAGATGCATTCTGTAGGAAGTTACCACAAAGCTACATCAAACAAGGACACTTGTTTCTGGCGAGGCTGGAAAGTACAGAGCATTAATGTAAGCACTGGGTTGGATTTTACAAGGAAATATGTGGAAAACATTTTCCAATTGGACAGGAATTTGCTTTCAAGCAAAGATGAGGGTATATAGAATCTATAGAATGTGCCCAGGGAAAAGCCAGTAATGAATTTTCTTTTATATTAGATTACGGGCAAAAATGGAAAACATAAAACAGGTTGTTTCAGCATGGTAGTTTTTGTAGAATTACCCATAACAGCTTTAGGTTAAATTTTATTAAATATAATAAAATTCAAACTATTAAGCACATGGCACAATATTATTCACTATCATTCATTTTGGGTTACTTCTTAGATCCTAATAGAATTTCTGAAATACTTTGGAAAAGTATCCCAACCTTCAGACAGTGGATGGGAGCGAAGTAAGGAGACCCCACCTGAGCAGACACCTGGTATTGGTTACAATAAAGTACACGTTTTGTGCTTTGCAGCATTTTTTATTTGTGTTAGGGAGTGGGTTATTGGCAAATAATTATTCAAACAATAGATTTTAATAATTTATTGTCTCACATCATATATGTTGTTAGATTTTCTTAAATGTCTTACAGCACTGAAATTCACACATTTAGGAATGGAAATGTAAACTATTTCTGTTTTACTTTTGAGAATCACACCACCAGCCAACTTCTTTTCAAATTCTTTTAATTGGAATTCTGCCCCCTCCCCAGGCCACTTATGTTTTTGTCAAGAACAAAATACAACACAAAAGAGTTAGGATAGATATTCATCTACTTTCTCTTAGTTCATTGAGAATAAAAGTTTGTACTAATATTGTTTAGACAGGATATCATGTCTGGGGCCAGCCAAATAGCTCAACAGATTAAAGCACCTGCAAGCAGGCACAGAGGCTGGGGCTTCAATCCCTGGGCCTACTGTGCTGGCCCCGCCTTCAGGATATGCTGAGAAGGCAATTGAGACTGGGCATGGTGGAGTGCACCTGTAATCCCAGCTCTTGGGAGGCTGTAAACAGGCAGATCACTACGAGTTGGATCTAATAGTGAGACCCTGAACACACCCTATACACTCTTCCCTAAAATACAAAAACCAAGAAAATAAAGATATCATATCTTCATCTTGTCCTCTGAATAACTACTACAAAGACAGTATGCAGTGTATTATTGTAATCGTCCTACTAACCTGTTTTGAAACTGTTTAATTGCTTTTTTTTCTTCTTTCTCATTAAAATGAATTTAAAAAATTAAAAAAGAACAAAATACTCAGAAAAGAGTAATAATAGATGCACCTTCCTCCCCATAGATTAGTTAGCTGTTAAATTTCTATATTGACTTATTCACCAAATTCATGAATTCATTCAACAAATGTTTTTATGACTTTAATATGCCCAAGTATTCTTCTAGTCAGGGTGCTACTGACAGCTAAGAAAGTTAAGGTCCCTTTTCTTTTGTTTGCATTTTAATAGATGGGATGGGCAACAAACCAAAGCAAGTGAACAAGATAAAATTAGACAGTAGTAAGTGAAATAATAAAAGTCTCTAAAGAAGAAACACAAGAAAGGAAAAATGTACATGGAGTAATCAAAGAAGGTATTATCTGTCAACAAAAGAGGCTAATTATGAAATAAAACTTGAAGTATTTGATATACTGTATTTCCAGCTTTCATTAGAATAAATTCAACAGGTGAAGTAATATTACTCTGTAAGAGGTCTAGATGTAATTTCATCTGTTAACTGTTGTTTCTCTGTTGCCCTTACAGATAGCATATTACTTATGACTCATGATGTAGGCATAAGGTAGATTTTATAAAATCTGAATATAGAAGCAATAGAGAATATTTATAATATCTCCTGAGCTAATATCATTGCAATAAAAGGTGTAGTCGGACTAAGTATAACTGGGTTCACCATGGGAAGTGTTTCTGTGAGGGACCCCTTCCTCACCTATGCTTGAAATAGAGGGAAATAGGAGGAGGAGAGAACATACACAGATAATCACGTAACAATGGAAACTTTCTTCTTAGGTCAGTGACCTTGCCTGAAAAAGGGCAGGGAGCAGGTGTATCATCTGAGCTGCTGTGAGGAAGGGCCGTGCCTCTCCTGACAGTCCTGTGGAGCCAGGTCTGCCACATCACCAAAGGGCAAAGGGAGAGCAGCACCAGAGCTATCCAGAAATAGATCCATCTCTTGTCTATCTTCCTTTTGGTCTGGAAGGCTCATGAATTAAAGTCCCTGACCAAACTTGATTTCCAGTAGTGCCTGGGAAAAAGTTGACAGTAAAATCCCCAACTGGGTAAGGTGAGGGTGAAGCACAACAGCCTATGACATTGATATGGTTTAGAATTACTCTAGGTTGCACTTTTAATCCTAGATCTTTTTGCTTTTCTTACCTATAGGCCCGTGTTCCATATCTTGTGTCGTTATGCATGATAATATTAAATCCACCCTTTATTTGCATTTATAATTAAAATGTTGTTGTACACAATACTTGTCAGAGAGTTTTTTTTTTCTAAAGGGGGAGGCTATGGATTGGTAAGTTTGGAAAATGGATGTAGCTAAAGAAAGTTTCTGAGAAAGAAGGTCTGGAAAGAACAAGAAAAGTATGCCAAGTTATCCAAAGGCAGCTATCTTATTTTCCCAGATGATGTGTGTATTAAGGGGTTGTGTGTCCACGACCTGCTTATGATGGCATGCAGCACAGACTGTACCCTTATACATCTGTTTTCATTGTAAGAAAGGGTATAATGCACAGACCTTCAAAATTAACACTTTTTCAGACAGCTTATTCTGGACACCATTTCAGTAATGTTAAATTGTCTCATGAAAGATGCTCTCGGAGTGCTTGTATGAAAGCTGTTAAAATACATGCTCATATTTATACTATTTTAGTTTTCATTCATCTTGGGGAGCAGGTACATATATGCACATTGTATCTTGACCACGTTCATCCCACTAGCCCCTGCCCTCTGCCGATATCCATCCATCCACACAAAGTCTACTTCCATATTTTAGTAAGCAGTGATACCTACAAAGAATCTTAAGGTGATGTGGATTGATTGACACAGTCTACATAAACTATTATGAGATTGTTTTTGACAATTTACCAACAATTTGGAGGGAACAAATCACCACCTTTATTACTATTGTTATTATTTTTTGATTGAGTAAAACTTTCCATGATTTTCCTGCTTCACATCTTCCATCTTCACTGTTCAGATACCATAATCAGTGTGGCTTTAAAGGTATGCCTGTCTCCCTTCTTAAAGATACTGCTTTAGCTGAGACACGCTTGAATTCAAAGCTGTTTTCAAGTATTTTCACACCTGGCCATCAGCTATGTTGTGGTTATTATGCCATTGGTCTTTGTGGCAGCAGGTATTAAGAAATGCCTGAAAGTTGGAATATAGTTATAAGTGGACACCATATTGGCATTTATGGCCCTGTCATTGGGATTGCTACACATTTTCTCTGTTGTTATGATTAGATCCTCTAACTGGTGTTTTAAAATGTCTTTTAACTGTTTAGAACCAATTGATTAATGTTGTCCCCAGTCAACCATTTCAAAACCTTTTAAAATATTTTGCTCTGTGCTTATAGCTGTGTGATAGTATTAGTGGCAAGAATGGTAGTCTGTGTCCTGAGATGTCCTTGTGAATAAGAATCGGTTTATATTATGTACTTGAATAAATTTTATGCTTTACTGGCCCAATGATAGCAGTAGCCCTATAGAATTTGACTTCAAGAATGGTCTCAAAATGACTGTTACACTTTATAATTAGTCATGTTAAATCCAAATACCTACTGAAACTACCAAAGCATTTTTGAGATGCTATCCTTTAACAATTTAGGACAGGAGACTGTCTATTCTCTTTATGATTGGAATCTTATTTATAATAACACCACGAAAGTTCTCCTTATCAATTATTTATCTTTCTAACTACCAACCATCTTACACTTTTATTCCTAGTGATGTCTTCCACCCTCTACTCCATTTTTTTATAATGCAAACTCTGTTGTTTGGAACTCATCCTAAGCTAACAAGTGTAGCATAGTGGGCACCAGTTACATTTAACAGTTTTATTTCTATGAGAGAAAAATTCAAATTATTTTGAGATTTTGTAAAAGATCTTAAAGCATATTATATTAACTGGAGCATTAACTCATTAACAACCATGAATCTGTTGCATTTGATAGGATTAAATATGCTTTGTTAAATTTTTACTATGAGTATAGACAATTTGCTTAAATGACTGTCTAAACAAAGTATTTCATGGGACAGGTATCACCTGGGCCCATGTAGGCACACTGTGACATTCATTTTGCTCTGCTCTGTACCTGGAAAGTGAATCCTGCCCCAACTGGTGACATCTTTTATCTTGAAGAAAACTTAACTGGGTATTTGTGAATTGATTTGGTAAAAGACAGTGATCCTCTAATGTCAAAAATTCTATGTCAAGATTTTTTATTTTTACTATGAAATAATGAAACTGGAAAAATAATTTTGGAATAAATACAACTAAAGGTAAACCTTCAGGCCATTCGGTGTTGTACTATAGCTGAGCAAGTCTTTCTTATTCTATGGCCTGTTCATGACTGGAACTATTATTTGACATATTCTAAATTTGTTATATCTATGTATCTATTATAAATCACAGATGACACATTGCTATCTTCAACTTGTTGTCTGACATCAACTCCATATTGTATTGCTTGGAGATGGTTCATGATTGTAACTGGTTAATATCCTTAGGTTATGAAAATGATTCTTCAGTTGCAGATGTTCTTCATATGATCTAATACTAGATGTTTTGTAATTCTAAAGCTCAGAGAAGAAAAGCTCTAGCCCTGCTATTTCAGATCTCTCACAGACCCTCAGATATCAAGATAAATCAGCTTTAAAGAGTTCAGATGCCATTTCACTTGATAAAAGCCTCTCCCAGATATCTCCATCAGACACCCATGATAAGCCACTGACAACAGTATCATTGAGCAGAGAAGGCCCAGATTCACCCTCTGCGGAAAGGTTGCATGAGAGGAAAGCAACTGCATCCTGGATCTCACTTCCTGTGCTTCCTGAGGACTCAAAGGTATGATATAATACAGTGACTTGGGAGCTGTTTTAAATGAGTAGATTCAGTATCAAGAACAAATGCTAATTACAATGCTCATCACTATTTTCTTATTTCAAGGGAATCAAAGTTTGCTTTTAACACAGCTGTTTTTACTGTTAGGTTATTAAAAACAATATTGGAAATCAGCAATATTTTAAATAAGATTCTAATTATTCTTGATAAAAATTTTGTCACATATCTCTAAGGAAAAATGAAAAAATATATAATTCCTGAGATGGTGAATTTCATAGTATTTTATTCAGGTTTATCTACAAAGCAACTTTTTAAAAATAAGATTTTTTAAAGGTATAATAATTTTGAAATAGTTTCATATATACCTTTAAGGAAGACCTAACAATTATAAGAATTGCTTTTGTTGGAGAAGTGCTCTTTTGTAAAATTCTAAGGGCAAAAGTACAGGCAAAAAAAAAGCCTGAAGTATAGCTAATGTGTATGTACAACATATTTTTATCATTCAAGTTTTTAAAGTGTCCCTATATGAAAACTTCATAAACATGAGACTTTGCCTAAACATGGAAGCAGGCCAAAATATAAGTCAAAACAAGAATTGTAATCAGTAATTTTAACTCAGTTTTTTGGGCACTAATGTGGAGAAGAGCCACCGCATTTCTTAGCTCCCATGGCACTACTTCTCGGCATTTCCTAATATCTCTAAAATCTATTCACTATTCCCATTTTTCTGTTTGGCACATTCAGGAAATAATGAAAACAAAATGTTTCTGCAAAGAGATTTTATATGCAATTAAGAATCTATCATTTTCTTTAAGAATAGTAAATAGTTCTGAGACTTATAATCAGATATCACAACTTTTGTTCTTAAGGCTGATGTATCAAAAGAGAAAATACAAAGGAAGACTGAAAATGAAACTTACCCAACAGCAGGAAAGTTTCAAGGTAAAGAGATTTTCTGTCGTGTAACATAAAATGTGAAATAAATAAGTGAAGAGAGAACATTATTACATACCCAAGTAACTCACTACGCCATCCTCACTTAGTAGTACACAAGCGCACTAACAATGCTGTAAAGTCAACTTGAGCCAGGCCAGTGGCACAGGCTTGTAATCCCAGCATGTGGGATGCTGAAGTACAAAGAGCTCGTGTTGGAGCCCAGCCTACACAGCTTAGCAAGACACTGTCTCAAAAAAATAAAAAAAAAGGACCAGGGACTTAGTGCTTAAGGCCCTGGATTCAATCCCCAGCACTAGAAATAAATGAATAATTTGGAGAATTACAATTACATTACTGAGAATGTCTTATTTCAGTTAAGGTCTGGGTATCAGGAAATCAATAGCTTTGTCTTAACCAAAGTGTAGTAATTGGCACTGCAATTCTTAACACAATATTATATCAAAAATTATTTAATATATAAGTGAAAATATTTCTGGTATTGATAATAGTTTTGCAAGATGTATTTTAGGTCTTTGCTGTAGTTTTTTTTTTTAAAAAAAAAATTGATTTTCCTTTATAATATACCAATTGATGTTTTATTTCCATGGTCTAAACTTGCAAAATAAAACTGAGCAGTCTCTATAAAGGTGCAACAACTTCGCTCCTGTGCTCTGAAATGAGGGTACCTCTGTCGTCTCCTGTATGACGACTGTGTGCCTGAAGTGTCCATTCCTTGCTATGGCCAGAATGCTTTCTTCATTCAGTTTATCACAAGTTTTAACAAGTAATTGAGCTCAATTTAATCAACTGATTTATTTAAAAAATTGTAATTTTGGCAAAATACACCAAACATAAAAGTTACCCTTTATCATTCTAAGTGTACAGCCGTGTGGCATTAATTAATTACATTCATGATGTCGTGCAACCACCACTACAGCGATTTTCCCAACTTTGTATTACAGCCTCCCAGAGAGCGCTGACTCCCATTTTTTACTCCACCCAGCCCCTGGCAATCCAGTCTGCACTCTGTCTCTATGAAATCGCCTAATCTTTTGTTGTTGCTGTTAAAACAGTGATTTTATTTTCTTCTTCTTCTTTTTTTTTTTTTTTTTGGTGGAACCGGGG